TTAAAGAGTTGGGCAAACAGCAGTCTGATTACTTATTGTACTGTGACAATGAGAGTGCGGTGAAACTTGCTAAAAATCTCGTTTATCATGGCAAGACGAAGCACATCGGGATGAGGTATCACTTTGTGAGGGAATTGATCAGTAATAGAACAATCAAGTTGAAGAACATCTCAGGTGCTAAGAATCCAGCAGATATGTTCACCAAGACAGTGGTGCTGGATAAGCTGAAGCTTTGCATAGCTTCAGCTGGTCTCCTGGAATAGTGTTGAGGAGAGGGGCAACTAGGGAGATGTGAAGATCAAGAAGGGTTTTTCATTTACAGAAGTACAGAGAGTAGCCGCAGTTTGGTCCAAAGACTCCAAGTGGGAGATTGTTGGTGATGTGTAGTCATCGGCCCAAAGTGGCCCACTTATAGACAACTGAGAATTAGGAAACCAGATTAGGGTTTCGGCCGGCCCAAATGGTTTTAAGCCCAGATTGCTATAACTTGTCCAGCAAGGGTTAAACCCTAATTAGTTGTCTATATATATGATCTCCTGTACTTGTAATCATTATCACTCAATAATACAAACCCTAGTTGCCCCTGTGGATGTAGGTCAGATTAGACCGAACCACGTTAAATCTCGTGTTCTCTATTGCTTTCTTGCTTTCTATTCGTGTGTGTGTGCTTTTGTTCTTAACATACTGCTCATATTAAATATTATATAAAAATGCTTTCTTGATTGTTTGATCAGGGTATGTGAGAACACATGCGTGTGTAAACCTCACATGCTTGATTTATGTGTGAGCACACATATTTATTAAGCATATATGTGTACTACAACTAACCATAATTCAAATAAATGCATCTCTTAAAATTGATGTTCTTTGTTGACATAGCTTTTCAAATTTGTCATTCAAATTTACGAAGTGACTTATTTGATTCTTAAAAGTAGTGAAAGAATCTTTATATATGAGATTTGATTTGGTGTATGACTCTTTTATTTTGGTGCTATATATGTTATATAGGATTATAAGACTGATGGTAATGAGTAAGCATCTAATCAGTATTACCATGGAATTGGCAGTAAGGAAGCATATTTTGGCTTTTTTTGTTCATTTGTTACAGGTACTGCATTATAGCTTTCCATTCATGCATTCGGCTACCCCAATTTTTTCCCAACTTTTACCGGAAAATTCTTTTTGTCATAAATTCGTGGGTTGATTAATACCAATATGCTTTCTTCAACCCGGAACCAATTCTCGACGGTCTTTGTGGAGCAGCGTGGAAGGGAGTACTCGCATGAAGGGAACATCAAGAAGCGGTGGAACATCAAGGTAAGCTCGGTGTCATAACATAGAATCTCCTAACCTAAAAAAGCCCAAGATTTTCTTCAGCTACTCCAAATATATTTACGGAGTATTTTTTTACTCAAATTATATTCTAATTACTCCTATTCGTGAAAATTGTTGATGTTTCAGGTAATTGCCATTCAAGTCTGGAGTGGAAAATTGGATCTCAATTAGTTCGGACATGGTGCAATCGGTTGATTTTCTAAGAATTTCAGAGTAATTTTGTTCATTTTCTTTAACCTCTTTTACACTTTGTCTCTGTAAAGTGTTGGATTTGGTAGGAGTGTTTATTATATTAATAGTGATATTCAGAGTCTAGGCATGGCGCCCATCATCAGGGGTTCAATAAGCAAAAAAAGAGGATTTGTATTCCAGTCCAAAATCTAACGTGTAAGGCAGGTAGTTGCTGTATGATCAAGGTTCCGGCTCTTGCAAATTTGGGATGCTTCTAAGATGCTATTGATTGACGAGGAGGTAGTAGTATGTTTTATTTGGGATACTGCTTTGATGACCGACCAGCTCTCCGAAGAGGTGAAGTCTTGGACACCACCCCGTCGCACCTGAACCTTCTCGCGCTTAGGTAAATTTGCAGTAATTGAAATTTTAATATTTTTTACTCCTCTTTTTTTTGTATATAAATTACACAGACATTATAGTTGGAATTTCTTATCAACTCTATGAATTATGAAATGAAGTCTATCAAAATTTTCTTATCAATTCTATGAATTATGAAATAAAGTTTATCATAGGGAAAAAACATGAGATTGAATGTCAGAACAAAAGTAAACAGTATCAAAACAAAGAAAGCATAAATATCTACTGAAAAAAATGAATCCAAACCATAAAAAAGATACTTCCAACTATATTCCTGAAATCAATCTTCCACAGTTGAGATAAACTGATTAATGATTTTTTATTCTTCTTCCAGGCTTCTCAAATGTGTTTCATGTATGGTGGTGATTCATACTTCTTGAATCTTATTAAAATTCCAGGTCATGTAGATTTTTCATATGAGGTATTTTGCTTTCTCTTCCCTTCAAGTCTGTAGTTTACAATGGGATTTACTTTCAAATTGCTTTGTGACATCAATTTTTTTGTCATGTGAGGTATTTTGCTTTTATTTCCTTTGGCCTCTTTTATGGCAGATTTGTTAATTGGGTCATCACTTTTCATTATGTGACATTTACTTGTCATCACATATAGCATATATGTGAAATAGTAAGGACTATTATTGGGGTCTTGGGTTTGATCAAACTAATGGTAAGGACTTTTAATTTGTGATAGTGGCTTTTGGATTTTAAATTTAGTAGAATACTGATAGGAACAAGAAGATGTTGTTATTTTGTCTTTTTAAACACATGCAATAGACTATTTTGGCTTTGACATCTTAATCCAGCAGCCTAGTCAGTTTTGCTTATGCATCCCCTTTGGATTTGTTGTTAATTTTGATCAGACTCTTAGCCTTATCATTGATATAGCTTTGGATGTCATTGACATAGTACTTCGTAAAATGGCATGGATATTTTAGGCACTGATTTCCTGAGTAAGGATAAATCTTTACAACATAAGTGTATATTTATGATAATCAAATAATTTCTCTAGCCGTTTCACCTTACTTTCATGCCACTTGCTTAATTTCTTTCTTAAATAAATGATGGCAATTTTCTTTATGAGCATATTGTTGAAAACGAACATTGGTTTCCAATTTCAGTTTTGATGAGTAATTTACTCAATATAAAAATATTCTAGACATGTTTTTCTTGAACCCGAGGAATGACTGCAGGTTTACATTGGCTATTTGAAGAAGGGAACGTTGCCGTGATATTGGATTTTTGAGCAATTGGTGTTGCCATGGGTCGGAGGTTAACATGAGCAATTTGTAGTTCCATATTCACACTCTCACTATGAACACAAATTCTTTCCAAAGCTATATTTACTGAAAATTGGCATTGTTTTTTAGTT